TATTCGCAGCAGCCGAGAAATATGTAATACATAAAATATACAGCACTATTTGTTTACGGCTGAAACAGATACGCGTCGCAGTTTGTTTCGAATGCATCAAGAAGGTTATGTATCAAAACTATTGTCTGTGTTACTGTGTATCGACTCCGAGTGCTATGTAGTATACTACATCAATTCTTGTTGGTACTGGTGCAGTGGTGATATGCATACATACTCCGTACCGATGTATATATTTGTAATGTATATTTTAGGGAATGTTGCTCTAGATGTGTGATTCATAGTGATCTGTGTGGATGACTGCTCTGACTCTCATGAATTTATACTCTTATACGTGTCTAGTAGAGAGATCAGAGATGCCGTTAAGATCCGACCAATATGTGACTATGGATCGTAAATCTAACCACAGAATATCATGATTATTATCATGATTATGGCCCACCCTTTATTGCAATAAACGTTGACAAAATAAATAAAATTTAAAACTCATGTGAGAGTTTGATAAATATGGGGTTTTGGGACAAAATTAACAGTTAAAAAAGGAAAAACAAATATTTTTTAAGAGCAAAATACATAAATAAATTGTACAGAAGTTCATTCAGAACGTCAGACTCTTGTTGAGAGGTGACTCAGTTGTCAGTTGAGAGTCGAGACCATCTGCCTAAATATATAGTTTACTAAAAAAATAATATGTAGTTCACCCTCTTGAAACAAAAAAATGACTATGGAATGTGCATATTTATTGTAAGTTTTTAAAATATATATATATATATGTATGGTGAATTGGTGATTACCTGATTGGACTTTGGTGCGTGTATTTAGAAAAATTTGGGCTGTTTTATAGTTTGTTTTTGTTTTTTTTATAAAAATAAAAAACAAAACACCAGAACAAAAATAAAACATAAATATCTCATAAATATTTATGTATTTACAAAGTATACCCGGTATTTATGTATTTACAACAAGTACCCGGTATTTATGTATTTACAATAAATACCCCCAGGCCCAGGGCAATATAACCGGGTAACCCCACCCCGGACCCCCAGCCCCATCTGGGACTCTGGGTTCAGGAACTTCAGGGCGGCAGCCGGCAGGGCGAGGCGGCGATGCGGCAACTTGGCATGGCAAGGTCCCCTTTTGGCTTTTTTTAAAAACAGAATGATGAGTGATGTGACCCAATGTATTATCTGAAAGACTGAAACACAGAAGCAGTAACAGCTTAATGTGAATGGAAGATCGGACGATCAAAAATCATGTAGGCGAATACATATCTAGTTGTTTATCTTACATACATACCACACATGAATGATGAATGATATGAGTAAAAGGCAAGGGAGAAAATTGTTAAGGAGAAAGTAATATGTTTGTTACAGGTTGACCGATCAACGCAGGAGTCTGGATGCGAAGCTCCGAGGTGAGTTGGCGATTTCCATTCTATCCTACTGAGGTGTTTGGTCCAGCAGCTAACGAGACATGTCCGGGATCCGGTGTAGATGGGATCTATACCCACTCGGATGCGCTGAAATATACCAAATCAACAACAAGCAACTACGTATACGACTCAGAGTTATAAAATTTGTATGTGTGCGTGTTTGTGTGTGTATGTGTGTGTGTTTGTGTGTGTGTGTGTATGCGTGTGTGTGTATGTACGTGTATACGTGTGTGGGTGTGTGGGTGTGTGGGTGTGTGGGTGTTGGTGTGTGTATATATGACTGCTTTGACACACTTCTACTTTTCAGATAATGAGGCTGCATTCCATATAGCTAAAGTTTAAGGTCTCTATCCACTATAGCATAATACTTTTCAGGTGTGACTTTTCAAAGTGTACAGTCTATTTGACAGACAATCGTTGGGAATCGATAGGAAGGGTGCATGTAGATCCTTTCTGCTGGCAATACACCTAGCGTACTGGAGAAGTTTTATTATCCACAACGCCCACTCTTCCTCCCTTATTAATAGGTCTCTACTCGAATGGAATACATCCATCTGAGGGTCAGATGTCTATTCACCTTATACTAGCCTGGTTTTGTATAGCAAATCCCCTATCTGGGATACAGGTACCCAGAAGTCATTCACGAGGTTTCTTTTCAAATAGACTACGCCTAGCATGGCACTCCGTAGGCACGCAGGCGAGACACACCGCCGTCTGGGTATATAGTGAGCCTTAGGTGGGTGATGGGCGTAGTGCAGATCTGTATTTATGGAGACGCAGAATAGTAATAAGTTTGGACTGGCTGTGGGCAAGTAAAATTTCTTGACGCGCAAAGGCGTGGTACATCGTTATTTAGGAGACGCATAGCGGTGTTGTGCGTGAGGTGTTCTCTAGTGCGGAAAGGTATGGAGCGGATTTGGGATAGCAGAGGCTCAGAGCGAATATGATTATGATGTTATTCTATACGGCAATACCCTTATGCTACAAGGAATTGCTACACGCACCATTGTAACTCAGTTATTGCAATCGCTCTCAAACACATGAGTGTTCACACCATGTTCCCGCATCCCTTCAGAACTGCGATTAGCTAGGCGTAGTCCATGTAACAAACTAATTCGAAAACACCACACTAACACAACGCGAAAATAGTATGATTTCTGCGCCGAACTATACATATGTTGTCCCCCATAGAACCTTGTTATACTTGAACACCCTGCAAACTGTAATGTTTGAGGTATAGCACCTCCATGCTCGTGAGCGTCATAGTTGCACAATAATTTCGAAGGAAGTTAATGGAGATCGAAAAACAAATTTATCAATAGTGCCATAACATTTATACCACAGGAATGTTAAAACCCATCGAATCGGGACATTTTTCGAGTATTGCGACTGAGAATGGACAATAACTTAACCGTGTGTGGACCAGATCATGCTGCATGCTGAATTCCGAGGCAGTGCATGCATGGATACATTCATAATTTACCCACAAGTGTACATATACTTCTATATATAAACCTACCGATTCTTTCTCCACCTCCTCGTGGGCTGCCAGTTTACATCTGGTGACCAGCGGCATCCAAGCCGCGCCAGGAAATTCACCTTTACTGTTAAGGGTCGCTACATCAGAACCTGATGTCGAAACATAATCAAGTAAGGTGTTGTTATATCCACGTATTGCGCGTACAAATCCGAGCATCGATTAACTCATGTTTAGTAGATTTGGCAATATCAAGTGCGCGGGATACTCAGTCGGAAATATCCGCAAATAAGAAGCATAGGTTATTATTCAATATTCGCAGCGCAGCATAATGTCTGTGTGGGTGCATTGCTGATACCTATGGATGATGGACTGAAGGTGTGATATCTGTATGTGTATCACCAGACATGCTCAAGTAGTTTAGTGACGGACACGGCTGCGCACAACCTCATCATTCGGCACACCACAACACCAACTTGTCACTGTATGCATCGCTCAAGCACACAAACCAAGCCTTGATACGCCATCGAGACATGATTTGGCACAGTCTATCTTGTTCATCGCTGCTGCTACCAAATACATTATTCGGGACATACGAAGATTCACCCCATAGGTTTGCTTCGCCGTCTCCAACAATGACAACCTTTCCACAACTCTCTGCATACCTTCATAGAGGCAGCCTTCGACTTGACATGATTCAGGGAAGTTTCCTTTGAAGTGGTTTGTGTCGATGAGTACGCTATTCACAATCCCTCTGTGGCCCAGTTTGACTACAGCCCAGTCGTCTCCGGGTAGCACGAGTAATCCGTTAGAACCCATCTGTGTGTATGATATGAGAACAGGCAATGTCAAAAAGCAGTGAGAAATGGGTGAAAGTATTTGACATCTATATTGGCAGTATTGACAATCGGTCTGCGTCGTTCATCCTCAAGGATAATTGTCTAGTACCATACAATCAACAGAGCCATGACACACACACACACACATCCCAAAGATCAGTAAAGTAGACTATCTCACCCC